GATAATGAAAATGACTCGATTGCTTGCAATTTCCACATACTGGAGCATATTTATCTATAAACCTTAGATTAAGGCATTCATTGGCATAATGACTAATTTGTCGGCACCAGTAGCAACATAGTGATTTTTGGCCTATATCGTTAGGTATACTTAGAGTCTCCACTGGAATATATCTACTAGGCCGATTCCAAGTAGCCATAGTAAATGATCCTGGCTGACTAGTTGCTATTGGTCGAGAATTAGACTCTTGAATTGGTATAGTTTAGGGATTATCTCCTCGATTATTTCCACTGTTCTGCATCTTTGTTCTATAAACCGGATTATAATTAGTATTTTGAAAATTTCCAAAGCCATGATTAGGTCGATTTGAATGATTACTATTCCAACCACCCATATTTCCAGTCTGTACTTGATTAACATTTCATTGAGTTGGCTGTATCGTCTGGTTATTGAACTGTTGTTGCCTTTGTAAATGCCAACAGTTTTGGGTAGGGTGCTTTTCTCTACAAAATGTACATTGAACACCCGTTTGTTTAGGTGGTGGACATTCCGTATCAAAATGACCTTGTCCTTTATAATTATTACACCATACATTAGGTCTCGTATTAGAAGGCTTATGTCATTTCTCCTTGTCTTTAGCCAAACTCATGTCCAATTCTTCCATCTTCTTTGTTAGATTTAATAATAAGGCTTTATTTGTATCTTTAACACTCGTATTTATAAGCAATTCCAGTTGTTGATAGGTTGGCGATATACAATAAAGTGTCATTGTTATTGGCGCTATTACTTAGAGTGGTGTAGCATTAATTGGTTATTGCAACATAACATTCTTCACATTGGAGGCAGCCATTTGTGGATAATTATCCATCGACACATTTCCCAGTTGTATTTGTTGGCTTCTTGAACTTGGAATCATCATGGCCCCCACTATTAACAATTGATCATAATGACATTCTTCCTATACCTTTGTTCGTGCCAATGATGCTTCTACCGTAGCTGGTCGAGCCTCTTTTACAAACATTTTTAATTCTCGTAGATGCAAATCATTGATTAATATTGATAATATAAACGCATCTGACATTTGATTATTTGTCCATTTATAAAGTATATCCGTGACCCGGCCATAATAGGACTCCACTGATTCCCCCGCAAACATCTTGTTATTCATAAAACTTTCTCTAAGTCGATCTTCAAATCCAATTGGTGTAAAATGGATTAGGAAGGCATTCCACAAGGCCTTCCAATTGGAAAATCTACACACTGGTTGCCGAATATATGATTCAAAAGCTGTATCTTTTAAAGTTGCTGGCAACCATCTCAATCAAATATCTTCAATTCTACTATTATTAGCCACGTAGGTTGTCAAGTATTGAGATATATGGTGATCGGAATCAGAGCTCGATCAACCACTAAAAATAGGTAATGGTGCCATACTTGTATTTCGGTCTCCTACTACTCCCATTTGTACTGCAATTGGTACTTCTGGCACTCCTGCGACCATTGGTGTTATCACCGGTTTCTTTGCTATTTGAATTTGAATTTTTCTTCCTTTGGTTTTACTTGGACCTACAATTCCTTTTTGTCATTCCCGTAGGAGATTTCTTATGCATAATCGCTCCTGTCTTTCTTTTGCTTGTCGATTATATCTTTGATAATCCTCTCCCCTCCCCCGTGATTATCACTCATAATCTTTCATTCTTCTTTATAAAATCAATACTTCCTTGAATTATAATTCATATACTTGTAATCCTAAAACTGGTTCTTCTCACGTTCTCATTCAACATATAATTCCATCTTCCATACAATCAATTTCTAACATTTCATATTGTTATCATTTCTCCGGCAGCAGCGCCAAAATATTATTCTTATTGTATTCAAGCTTCAGTATAACAAAGCAATTGAACTAATAGAAGTAGGTTTGAACATAGGAAAAGACTGGTTATATGAATTGGGTCTGTTAGTGTCACAATTGACTATACTCAAGCTATCTGAAAACAATTATCAAACTACAAAACACCAAGGCTTACTACTTTCGTCTTAATTCAACCCATAATCTATTCTACCACTATCAATTCAACAATACTTCCATATTCTTATCCGTTCATCTTCCACTTACTCTCTTTGTGGTTTATATATATTCAATTACTGATCTCCAACTTACCTATTATATTCAGTTTTTCAATTCATCACACAGAATTTAATATCTCGGCTTACAACTCTCATAGTCTGGCACTCCAGACTAACTTCTCAGTATTCAAAAACTATCCATTACTCATCAACAACAAAGAAACAAAAAAGAGGTATCACCAAGCTTGCCCTGGCTTACGACTCTCACAATTTGGCCTTGATCTCCCTTTTCTCAACTATTTTTATCCTACCAAACGATGGACCGTCGGCCAGTAGATTCCAAAGGTTATGACCCTTTGAATTCTTAACCATTTATTCCACTAAAAACATACTGTTACCAACTAAATTGCCTAATTATTAGTCTAATTCTCAAGGTTATTAATAACCAACCAATAACTTACCACAAAATTTATTTACCTATTCTAAAAATATTTAAAAATTATTTTTAGATGTCAAGTTCTTTATCAAATATTTTTATTAAGAAAAAAATACTTAAATATAATAATAAGTGTAATAAGGCTATTTAAAATTTGAAAAGAATTATTATATTATTATAATTCTTTAAGTATTTCAAATTTAACTTCTTATTTAAAATACATACAAATACAAATAATTTTATAATTCACTAAATTATAGATGAATGTTAAATTGATTTTTCCTTTTATTAAATCAATCTACCTAACAAAATAATCATTTACATCCTTTCATCCATGTTCTTTCCATTCTTAGCTCCCGTCTCCCTTCATGACCTCCTCGTCCCCGTTCCTAATTCTCATCTTACATCCCCACCCTCTTTCCTTCCTCTTCTCCCATGTCTCCGTTTTTAATACTTGTCCCTTATTCTCCTTGCCTCTTGTCTTCATCTCCCATCTCTTGTCCTAAATTTGCTACACTTATAATAATTATTAAAGTTTCTAATTTGTAAATATATCAACAAGTCTAGAAAAGAAATTATTAATATTATTTTTGAATTACAATTAAGTAGATATCAAGTATACCATTGAAGGTTGTAATTTGCAAGTAAAGAATTTCAGCACTTTTCATGTCTTTTTTATTCATACTACAAATAATTATAAAAGATTCTATGATTCAACTCTGTTTGTTGTAATTGTGATGTAAGAAACTCAACTATAAGAAATTTATCTATAATTATTGTTCTTGTGAATTTATTTTAATTTATCTTTTTATTGAATTTTTGGACTATCACTTTATGGATTGTGGTTATTTTGGATTGGAGATCTTATGGACTTTTGAAGTTGAAGGCAAGAAGAAGAGATGAGAAGTCTGCTTTTGATTGATAGCTGAAATGGATTATGGTTAGTTTTGTGGTGACAAACTATACAATAGCATCTATTTGTCTTCATCAAAGTTGTAGAACAACAAAGTTTCAACCCTTTTGTGTACTTGGAAAGATTTTGTGGAGCTATATTTGTTGTTGGTAGAACTAGAAAGGAAGCTCAAACATTCAATACTGGGTTTTAGCAATTTTTTTTGAAAGTTGCTAAGTTTGAAGGAAAAAAAAGAGATTTGTGGAGGATCTTTAAAATTAAAGAATATTTGATTGTTTGATGGAATTATTACTTCTTATCATAATTTTATCTATATTTTATTTATTTATTAATATGTAAATAAGTTTATATCAATTAAGTCTAAATACCACATTGAATTTAAACTTATTTTATTATTTTTACAATGATGGTTATTAATTATTAAATCCATATTTAAGATTTTCTTTACTATTATCTTGAGTTTTTTTTATCTATTTTATAAAAAATATCTACATATTTATTAAAAATTTCTAATCCAAATAGTTAATTACTCATATGAAATATTGAAGACCTTATTTTTACTTCTAAACCTTTCTTTAATGTTGCCACCCAAGAAGTCTCCTGAGAAATTTTCTTTTTATGTTTTTTCTTTTTACTTTTTACTTCATCTTCTTTTTGTTTGATATTATATATATATATATATATATATATATATATATAATCTTTGTAATCTAATTCTTAATTTTAGTATCAAAATAGTTTTTTGTAGGTTCTTTACAAATTAATTCTTTTATATTTTGAAGTTTAGTCATGTTTCATGAAAATAATAAATACATTTGATTGTTGTTCAGGTTCAAACTCTTGTCACAGAAAATGGTCCATGTTTCCAGACTTACCCGTAGCCATCGTAAGTTTTCTCGTCCTTGCATTCCACACGTCACAACCCGATTCCAGTGAGGGAAAAATGAGGAAGTAAAACTCGAAGACATTTCTGAGCCAAGCTCTTTTTACGGATCCAAGCACACGTTTGAACGAAACTGGAACCAGGAAGGTCCTCTCTCCCTCACTCGCCTGCTCACTCACTACTCATCCAAGTCCGGACAGGTCGGATCTCGGCATTGTAGTGTGCTCTTGGGCAGTTGGGCGCTCTCACTCGACCACACTCTACAACGCAACAAACGTAGGCATGGCGGGGAAGATAAGCCTAGTTCTTTTCCATCCTGCTCGCCACATTCAACTCAGATCCAAAATCACGGTGAAAAGAGGAGAGATAAAACACAGAAGAAGATGAAACTCTAATTCACCACAATACGATCTCGAACAATCTCTATCTTTGTGAACCCAACTGTCGACGCACCCAGATGTTGTATTTACGAATACGGTATGTGGTATGGAAATACAGTACACATTTTGGTTTAGCATGACAACCAAAGGTAGGTGTTGGGATATTATGATATTTGCCACCTCTTTCTAACATACCTGATGGAACTGGCAGTTCCAGAGTGGCAGCCACGTAGAGAAGTGGATTGGTGGCCAACAGGGAGTCCGGCCTGAATTCTGTCGCCGCCAGCTCAACCCTAAATGTTAAACCCCGATTCTCGGACTCCGTCGGGATTTGAATTTTTGCATCACCGGCTTGAATCATTGGGATCGCTGTAAAGCTTGCATTGCTGTTATACTTCGCCTGCTCGTAATCGCCCTCTACACTTCCGTCGCTTCCTTTTCGAAGACGGGATCTGTCTCTTGTTTTGTGTCTGTGGAGTCGCCCCGCGCCGTTACTTGGAGTTCGTCCACGCCATTTCCTCCTGTGCGGCATTGCTTGCGTTGGCTTTGTTTCGGCTTTCTGTTTGGTAGAGTTCTTGTTCTGTGGTTCGTTTGTCAATCCGTCACAATGTCTCTCCGGCCCAATGCTCGCACTGAGGTGCGCATGAAAGGGTACAAGTTGGCCGTTGATGCGTTGGAGGCGAGGAGGAAGAGGGAGGATGGCATGGTAGAGATCAGGAAGACTAAGAGAGACGAGAGTCTTCAGAAGAAGCGTAGGGAGGGATCCCAGCTGCATCAGCAGTTCGCTCCTACGCAAAGCTCTACTGCCGATAGAAAGGTAACTTTGACGACCGTTTGAAGAGCTTCCAGTTGGAGGACTCATGTGCCTATGCTCTATTGTCTTTACATGTAATTTTTATGTAATTCGATATTGAGTCGATCAGATCTCTTTAGGTGCTCTAATGCTCTGGAGACTTGGCACTGCTCTTCATGACTAGTTTTTCGATTTTGACTTGGCGATCTTCCTAGGCAGTAGTGATCTTATATCATGGTATTGCAATGCAGCAACTTGAGAGCCTTCCGGCGAGTGTTTCTGCGATCTACACAGATGATCCAGCCACTCAACTGGAAGCTACCACTCATTTCCGGAAGCTTCTGTCCATTGGTACGGTTGGGTCACTTATTTATTTCATATCAACACTCTAGCTCTGGTTATCTGTGTCGATGAGGTCAATTTTTTCAAAAACTTTTACTCACCATGTCTTCGATCATTTTTTGCAGAACGCAGTCCCCCAATCGATGAGGTTATAGCGGCGGGTGTTGTACCTCGGTTTGTTGAATTTTTGGGTCGTGGAGATTTTCCACAGTTACAGGTAACACTCTGATGTAATAAATCTAATACCTTTCTTGACTATTTGAAGTATGAGTTATCATGTAGATATCTCACACAAGAATGTCTCTGTAGTTTGAAGCCGCGTGGGCGCTTACAAATATTGCATCCGGAACGTCTGACCACACCCGCGTCGTGATCGACCATGGGGCCGTGCCCATATTTGTTCAACTCTTGGGCTCTCCTAGTGACGATGTTCGTGAGCAGGTTTGGCATCTCCACTTATCCCACGCTTTTTACGGTCTTCGTACTACAGAAGACTTGTCTACTTTTCATGGAGTTAAGAAATTTAGGAACTTAATGCCTGAGTTTCTGAATCAGGCCAAAACTACTCCCTTGCAATGTCACTACTTACGTCCCTCACTCAAGTTATCTTCTACCGATCTATGGTAGCCGCCTAGATTCGAAGTTGTTTGAGTTCACTACACCCATAACGGTCCAGTGTAACAATTGCTTGTTTAAAAACGTGAACGTCGTACTTTATCTGAGCTTCTGCATCTAATTTCTAATAATGCCTTGTCCCGTCCAGGCTGTTTGGGCTTTGGGCAACGTCGCTGGTGACTCTCCTAAATGCCGGGATCTTGTACTTGGTCATGGAGCTTTAATGCCTTTGCTCGCTCAGCTTACCGATACTGCGAAGTTGTCAATGCTTCGAAATGCCACCTGGACGCTCTCAAACTTCTGCCGTGGAAAGCCCCAGCCACCTTTTGAGCAGGTGAGACGATTCCCAGTTGACGGGTGCTGTCTGCTGGCGAAATTCTCTTCTTTGTGGAGCAGCTCATTGTACAACACTGTTTGTTATTGACCATCATCGATCTGTGTTGTTTCTTGAGTTTGAATCTTTCGATTCGTATATTCACAGGTTCTTTGCCAAATTTCCCACATTGCAGTCTAATAATTTTTGGTTTGCAGTCGAAGCCGGCTCTTCCCGCCTTGGAGCGCCTCATCCACTCTAACGACGAAGAGGTCCTCACTGATGCATGCTGGGCTCTCTCTTACTTGTCCGATGGGACTAATGATAAGATCCAGGCGGTTATTGAAGCCGGCGTGTGCCCTCGTCTTGTGAACCTTTTGCTGTAAGAGCTCTCTAACATCGCAATCCATTGTTCATGTCTCATGTGTTGTTCAGTTATGTGACGTGTGAGTAGAAACTTATGTAGTTGTTCGATGTTTCAGCAGTCACCCATCACCCTCTGTACTCATCCCTGCCTTGCGGACGGTGGGCAACATTGTTACTGGTGACGATCTTCAGACTCAGGTAATTTCTCGATGCATTCTGGCCTTTTCCATGTTTTTAAGCCTTTGTCCATTTCGACCTTCTTCCAGCGTTGTCCTGGCAAAGAGTCCACTTCTTCCAGTTCGTTGATAATGTCAACTGCTTACGTTTCCCGTTGCGCAGTTCATCATTGATTGTCAAGCCCTACCGTGTCTGCTCGCACTACTCACCAACAACCACAAGAAGAGTATCAAAAAGGAAGCATGCTGGACCATTTCCAACATCACAGCCGGAAACAAGGAACAAATTCAGGTTGGATTCGAATCTTCATCTGCCCATGCCTCGACTACGAGCTAAATGCACAGCACACCCTTCTGTCTGTGGAGCAATAGGAGTTTTCAGAAAGTAATCTCTGGTATCAGATGTTAACAAATTTGTTCGGGAAATTTGCAGGCTGTAATTGATGCCAACATTATTCCACCTCTGGTATCCCTGCTTGCGTCAGCTGAATTCGACATCAAGAAAGAGGCAGCCTGGGCGGTGTCCAATGCAACTTCTGGTGGAACGTCGGAGCAGATTAAGCACCTTGTCAACCAAGGTTGCATCAAGCCACTCTGTGATCTATTGACTTGCCCCGACCCAAGAATTGTGACCGTCTCCCTTGAAGGGCTGGAAAATATTTTGAAGGTCGGCGAACAAGATAAAGATAGTGGTAACAACAATGGCGTCAATATATACGCTCGCTACATAGATGAAGCTGAAGGTCTGGAAAAGATCGAGAACCTCCAGACACACGATAACAACGAAATTTATGAGAAGGCCGTCAAGATTCTGGAGACATATTGGCTTGAAGAGGACGAGGATCAGAATGTAGCACCAGGCACCGAAGGTCAAAACTTCGCCTTTGGTTCAAGTACTGCTGCAGGTGCTCCCCCCGGTGGCTTCAACTTTGGCTAAGTAGTGGAAGTCCGGCACTGGTGCCCTTTGGTGACCCAAGTTTTTAATTACAATTAGACAAGTGTCGAGTTCTGGCGCTACTAGTTCGTTACAGATTGCTGAGCTAAAAGTTTTGGTGTGGGGCCAATAATTAGGCTAGCAGAACAATTCTTTTGTACTTGAATACTTCAGCTCGAGCTTATTCAAGGACTGCCCGAGTATCTCAAAGTAAGGAAATTTCAAACAACGCATGATGTCTTGCTGTACACGTTCGACCTTCGTTAGTTGTTAAATTTGCCAAATTATTTGGTGGTTATGGCAATCTATCACTCAGATCCCACCCGCCTGGTATCGCTACGTTCTGTTCGCATCAGAGGCCCCTTGGATTTTCTCTCTCACTCGTAATGCCCATTCAGCATGTCATGAAAAATCTCGTTTTTACTTGTGTCGGCTGTACAATTAATTCACTGTTAGAAATGTTAACTGAGGATGAAGGTTGTCTATTACAAAAACCTGTACTGCATTCAACTCACTCTACTTCCAATCTCATTATTTAAAATTTGCGCTGTGAAGTGAAAACCGGGAGACCCCGAAACAAAATCTCTCTGGACCCTGGATGTCACCAGACTCAATAGAGACACCACTAATGTGCATGTGAACCAATTCCATACAGGAATTGCCAAAACCCCATCCTGGAGATCTCAACGCCTTCAGTAAATAAGCCATAAACCAGTCATGAGCTTTGTGCAGTAACGTGGTCACCCATAGTTTCCGAAAGCCTTGAACTTATTTGTCGCTCAAGCTCAGCTTCGGAACCTAGCCTCACGCTCGGAACCGGAGCTGAAGCTCTGGGTTTACGATGAATGATATCTTCATTATACATCCAAATAAACGAACATCTTCATCCATTCGTCTCTCTGACTTGAATGCAAATGTGTTCGCTCCGGTTTTTAGGGTTAACAGTTAGTATTGCGGAGCCTTCCCCGTCATCGCTGTATCCAGACCTTGCTCGAGAAATTTGTTGCTGAGCCCGCACCGACCACAGGGTTTTTTAAGTGCGGGGGTTTGATTCTTGGAGGAGGGGAGCTATGGCAGCGCTCAGCATCCGCAGGGGCAACGCTCGACTTCCGCCTGAAGTGAATCGGGTGCTGTATGTGCGTAACTTGCCGTTTAACATTTCTTCGGAGGAGATGTATGATATCTTCGGAAAGTATGGCGCTATCCGGCAGATTCGCATCGGCACTAACAAGGACACAAGGGGGACCGCGTTTGTTGTGTACGAGGATATTTACGATGCCAAGAACGCCGTGGACCATTTGTCCGGGTTCAATGTTGCCAACCGCTACTTGATTGTGTTGTATTACCAGCAGGCGAAGATGTCCAAAAAGGTTGACCAGCGGAAGAAGGACGAGGAGTTGACAAAGCTGCAGGAGAAGTATGGCGTGAAACCGGAGTAGTTCATCTTGTTGCGGTAATTGGAAGGTGCGTTGTTGGTGTTGGTTAGGGTTTTTGTATGTCGTTGTTTTGCCGACGAGCGTTTCTTGTTGGAAGATGGGTTTTGGGAATTCAGTGGAGTTGCTGGCGCGGTGGAAAGACTGGTTTTCAGAATCAAATGTATTATGGTTTTTTTGGTAACATGTTCCTCTTTGGAAACTAAATGTTAGGAAATCCGTTGTGATCCTCATTTTCGCCTCCAGTACGCTAGGGTTAGTAATCTCGCGTACATATGCTTTCTCGAAGCAATGTTTATTTTTCAAACGAACTGAAGCTCTTTTTCTAATTTCTTCACCTCTAGTCTTCGGCTACCCGACGACGGTCTGAGCATCTGTGCATGATGTCAGGTTGGTGATGTTAACGTTAGGTCATGAACCCCTCTCAGTTCGTGAAACTTGTGAAAATATTTTGGACAAGCTAATGGATCCGGCCACGTTATAGAGGACCCATTGAAACCTACACGCTTGCGAGATAAAAGCAACCGAGTTATGATCTCTGTCGCTTTTTTTTTTTTTTTTTTTTTTATCTTTATCGTGAGTGTGAGGGCTTGTACAGTCTTTTATAGAAGTTTACTTCTTAGGGGTAGTGCAACTGACCACATGCAAGTGGTGTTCGTGTCGTGTAATACGAGATGTCTTTCCTCATCATGCAGTGCCTGTAGCTTTCTGAATTGGTTATTAATTAAGTCTGCTAAAAACATTTTGGTCAGTGGTTTATGGATTTGTCGATCGATGCATGCACTCTGCAAGCAGATTCACACGAAATGAATAAATCTATTAGGTATAACTTATTACCTTGGTTAGCTGTGGGGTTCTCATTATTATAGCCTGATTCGAGTTTAGTGATCAAAGTCCAATCCCTACCAGGGGTGTGATATTCATTTTCCGGAATGAATTGTGAGTTTTCAGTTTCAGTTTTAGTTTTAGTTTCTTACGTTATGCTGTGACGACGTCTGACAATAGTCTTTATTGTTTGTGCAGAGTATTGTACTGGATTCCGTGATGTCCAACTCCACTTTGATATCAAGATTGACAAAAGATAGTACGGTTCGTGAGGGGAAAATCATCAGATAGCTATACCCAGATTTTTATTTCATGCGAAAACTTAATAGTTAGCAACTGGGAAGTGGCTGTAAGAAGTGGCCAGGCTGGCTCATTTACACTGTAATATAATGACTTGAATCTCAGCTGATTTCATGCGTAACTTTTATCATGTTGGTGAAGGATTTGCTTATTTTTTCTCAGGTACTTAGATGTGATGACGGCAAGTTTGATGGTCTGCCCATCCCGATATCTTAGAATCCGTGTTAATGACACACCCAAGTCAGAATTCTGCCCTGCAGAGAGATCACTTTCACTCGAAGTGTCAAGTTTGGACTAGACCTTGTTAAAAGAGGGCAACTGATAAGGTTTAATATGGGTGTGAGGTGGGGGACGAGGGACTTTCCTGTGGACATGGGATCGGTGTCACGCATTTCGTGTGGTTTGTGCCATACTTATAAACATTTTTTCTAATAATATCCAATACACAAAATTAATTCGTGTATAATGTTTCCGTGTCTAAGGCTCTTCAATTATCTCAGGCTGGCCCGAACTGAAGAATGTTCGTTGATGTGAGTCATTGCATTTCTGGATGAGATTCTTTTGAGAGGAAAGCCAAATTGTTTTAGGTCTTGGAGAATCATGTTGGATATTAAATAGATACAAGTGACAAATTATTGACGAAGTGGTTTTCCACATTAATTTAAACCTTGATATTTTAGGATAGAAGGTGGGGACGTAGCATCTACATGTGCAGTATTGAATTCTATCTCAACGAATACGATCAAAATAGAGGTAATAAATCATGTTTGTGAATCTAAGTATAACCTGTAAAAGCACACTTAAGATGTAAACAACTCATTTTTGTAAAATGGAAAAAGAAAAGGAAAATATTATTAAAGATCTAAATAGCCAAGCGCACAATATATCTATTAAAACAGCCAAGCTCACAATAAATAGATTCGTGATATTCGAAGATGAAACATTTGATAAATTTATATTTGCTAATAACATTTATCGCAACTGCATATAAACTTATTATCATTATAAAACATTACTGACACAGAGATAAGGAGAAGAACTCAATTGTAAAATCACATCTTGTAAAATATAATATTAGATTCAATTTAAAAAATAAATAACTATGTAAATTAATTCATATACATATATATACTGTAAATTTATTCCTAAACAACTAAAAACATTATACTACTCATATTAATTATTTCATAAAGAAAAGATTAATATTAACACACACAATAATCTCTTTTCTATCAATGATATACTCTAAAAAAATCATAACTTTTAATTAAAATATTAACTTGAAAGTCTACAATTTAAACTTAGGTACAATAGAATGTTAAAACTATTGTAAATCTACCAACAACTTACACGAAGCGTGAAATCGAGTAACAATTCCTATTCAGAATATAAATATGCCCAGTATGGCTGACAGTAAATTGTAGTTAAACTTCACTCAGTCTTCTGTAAATCACGTTTATTCTTAATGTCTCTTGAATGCATCGTTTTCATTTAAAAATACGAAAATCTTGAATTAAAATATTTAATAAAACAAGCTAAAAAATAACCTCTTCTAACAAAGTCAACATTGTCATGTATAACTACTACCAAGCAAGGAAGAGCACAAACATAGCACACAACAAGCAAAATCCAGCAAAGCGATCAGTCATCTTCAAACACTACACAAGCGGAATTGAATAAAGCAACTGGAGAGAGCTAATCAGAGCACAACAAACATAATCAAAATCCCAACACCCATCACCAAACATGCTTAATAAGAACCAAGAAGGAAAAGGAGGAGGTGGGACTAAATGAGGAGGCAACCAGTAAGCAAACCCAACTCATCTAACAAACCCTGCATAACCAGAGCACACATAGACAAGAACCATTGTGTATCGTGGGAGATGACGAGTAGATTTTAACACTTGTTATGCTGGAGGAGTTTACTTACTGATGTTCTCTCGATGGCAGAGATATAATATTAGCTTAAGCATTACAGTAAACAAATCAAGCTTACGGGAGGTGCATGACAAAGTTAACCACATCAGACGCAAAGGAAGGGAAAAGACCCAGACTATGATTCACAATAAAGGAGTGGCATTCATCATACGGGTACTGTACACATCTGACAGTGTTATTGCGCATCAGAGCAACCGAGCGCCAAGGCCTTGCCAACACAGATTTACGACTTTCAAAAGAAAACTACTTCCAGCATTCAGAAGCTATTTAGTCTACAGTAGAAATACAAACTCGATTCAAAGAGTGTCATATCCTCTATCTGATCTTGCAACATAACATCTCTGACGAGAGAAAAAAAAAAGGGGGGAAATGAGCAGTTAATTCTCCTTCGCCAATAAAATCTCGCTGTGCACGCCTTATGGCATGTACTCCAACACGCCGCAGAGGATCACTCCACTGCATCACTTACTTTCAATCAACATATCATGCAATTTGAGCTCATGAAAAAACGCTCGATGCCCACAGCTCCTATGCAAAGATTCACAACAAATAGACGCAGCAATGCCATTCGATCCATCTCTTGGATCACCAAAAACCGCCTTGAATGTCGGTGGCTAGATTGCCTAGCTATGTCCCATATTGGCAACTTCCACGCCTCCACCTTCAAACAAATATTACAGTCGAGAACTTGCGTTGAACTCGGCAGCTGCGCTAACCCAGAGTGGTTAGAACAACCCACGTTTCTCAGGCTTTGGCACAATGTAGTGATAGATTACTTGCTGACATCCGACCGTGATTTCAAAATCATAGAGAGAGCAGTGCGGAAGACATCGGCGACGCTGTAGAGCTCGCTCCGCTTTGACTGGCGGTCAAGTGACTGCTGAATCCCAAGCTAGACTCCGCGCAGCTAAGGTCATTGCGTAACCTCTCCAGCATTTTCACCACCTGCTGCATCGAAGGTCTGGCTTGCGGTTGCTGAACTACACACTGGAATGCAATGTCCAGCGCGGTTAAGAGATCCTCGTCAGGGCATGAGCCCAGGATATACTCATCAAAGATGTCCTCAGGGTGATCCTCATCCACTGCAGTTTTTGCCTGCAAAACAAGTGAAAGGATGATTAATAATGCAGTAGCAAATCATGACATATCTGTTTTCCCTGATAGGAAGTTCAAATCAAAACAACGTGGGACTAATGCAGTAGTGTTCCATAAAATGGGTTCAAGATGACACAATCTTCAGGCTCAGTGGAATACTACAAACCGTATATTTTAATAACCAGATAATAATAATAATAATAATAATAATAATACTGCGGATTCAACTGCGGAGTCAACAGTGACTAGGACCATGACTAATACCCAAGCAAAAATGTTACTTCTAGCAGATGATGTACATTAAGTAATTCAATTCCAACCAGATTTCTAAAGAACAGTAATTCTCACCCAGTGCACCATATTGAAATCATTGTCCATGAAGTAATTGTCTGTTGGTCGTTTTCCCGTCAGGAGCTCGAGCAGAACTATACCAAAACTGTAGACGTCACCTTTTTCGGTCACTTTTCCAGTCTCCATGTACTCTGCTCCAATATGCACCTACTTTTTAATAACGAATTAAGGCTAAAAAAATTTCGACTTTGATTTGGTCAGGGGTGGTGAAACAACAGGTCAACAAGGAAATTGAAGTTATGGCACATGCAGTAAACAGTCATTATAGGACCTACCAGGAGGCAGGTATCCGAGCGTTCCGGCCACCATTGTAGTAACATGAGTTTGGTGCGGGCTAATTAACTTGGCAAGCCCAAAATCTGACACACGAGCTTCCATATCCTCATCAAGCAAAATATTACTGGTCTTAATGTCTCTGTGAATAATGTGGGGTATGCAATCGTGATGTAAATAGCTTAGACCTCGGGCGCTTCCAACTGCAATGTTCAACCGCGTGTCCCATTCCAGGGGCTTTCCACCATGCTTCACATGTTCTGCATTGAACACAACATTGTATTAGAGCTCAACACTGTACCTACTGACGATTGGAAGAAACTTGCAATTGAATACACCAGATTGTATCGTTGCATAGATCTACCCAAAAAGGAATATCACGAAGAGGACACGCATGCGTGAATGCGTACCATGTAACCATGTATCTAAGTTGCCATTGTGCATCAAATCATAGACTAAGATGTTGATATCCGGTGCACTGTAATAGCCTCGTAAGGCAACCAAATTCCGATGTTTAATGTCAGCTAAAGTTTCTAGCTCACGTTCGAATCCTCGTTCTCGATCTTGACCGCCCCTTGCAAGCTTTTTGACAGCAAATTGTGTCTTGTCGTCTAACTCCAGTTTGTACACAGTGCCATAGCCTCCGCTTCCAATAATATCTTGTTGTTTGAGCAACTCCGCTTTCCGGAGTACAGCTTTCGATGATGGGGTCGCCTTGCCTGACATCTGGAACATCACCATCTTTCCACCTGCGAACTAAAACGTTAGAACCCACTACAAATGCTTTCCAGGCAGGAGATAGGAAACAAAGAACGTGCAGAAGCTGCAGATTAAAGACAGAGAGCAAAAAATAGACGGGCAGGAACATGGACCTGAAAGTTTAATTTCGCAGGTCGTATGCATCTTCTTCCATCGAAGGTAGCAGAGTGTACCCAAAATTACCTTGCTAAGTGCAAAGGCACAGACGCATATTGCAACAATAGCCCCTACACTTAAGGCTTTCTTTGAGGACCTGCTTGAAGATTCTGGCAAAGATCATACAGAGAAAAAGGCTAGATTAAAAGGCCTGCATAGCTAGAGGGATATATCCTATTGCTCAAACAGAAACTGCGCTAAAACCGCTGTTACATGAATTGTTTTTCTTCCTCAGCTCAACAGCAGGAAATCTCCAAAAAAAAAAAATATGGGTCCTGTATACCTGGCAGGGGTCCATCGCCAAAGTCCACCAGAGAACGAACTCTCCCACAGTCGCGGTCTACAGCCACACCGCACAAACGAGCATTGCCGATGTATCTGTGGAAGAAGAGCAATTACAATTACGAATCAAAACCATCTTACACACGGTTGTGTGCCACTCAAATGCACAAAAAGGCCAAAAAGGACAAACTAATATTTAATTAGTAAGGTAACTGTGTCCCAATTACACGGCCCATGACCAGAAACGAAGACTGCAGGGAAAACTTACGAGTCGCCATTAAATGCTGCTAGAGCTCCACCCCCCGGGACAACACCTTCCAACTCGTTGAAAGAGACATTCCTTCAAAACAGGAGCACTTAAATAATTAAACTTACAACCAACCCCAACATTAAAAACGCCAAGTTCAATCTCTTGTGAACTCGCGAACCCGCTTACGATGCATCTGAAGCAATCAAACTATATCTGCCTCAAGACTGAAGAATAAATTATGCTTACAGAAAAGTGAGCTTGGAGAGATTATCCAGAGATGCTGGGATTATGCCTTGAAGCTGATTGTTTGACAGATCCCTGACACAGTGTACGGGAAATCGTGAGCAATATTCATACAAGCAACCACAAAAATTGCGACATCAACTTTCTCTATCAAACGTGGGATATGGCAAAGTATGCTATTCAAATTCATGTACATGTAATGTTCTTACAGATATTCAAGATTGGAAAGCTGGGAAAGTGGCAACGGAATGGCCCCTGATAAGTGATTCGAATGCAAGTTCCTGCACTCACAACCCTAATTTCAATTGACTAATTTGACGATACAGTGTCTGCGTTTGAATTTAAGATTGTAACACCAAGCAAAGGTCCAGAAGCAACTTATAATATATCCATAATATATTTACATCAAATTGAGCAAAGCACTTACAAGACTTTCAAGCTGGAAGCGTTCCCAAACGAATCAGGTATTTCTCCAACGAACCCATTAGATGAGAAATTCAAAGTTTGCAACTGGGGGAAGCGAATTATGTCCAAGGTCAAATTCCCTTCTAGCCATTTTGCAGATAAGTTTCTGCAGTCTCAAGTCATAACCAACCGTTTCCCAAATTAGTTCATTATCCAGTCCTCACTTTCATGCCGCATCACAGAGAAAAGTTTAGAATCGGCACGTAGCCCATACTGCACATCTGATCCCAAGTGCTCTCAGTATATCAGAAACACGCAAGATAGCCCCTGTAATTATACTTCAGCCTGTGCAGGAATCCATCTCACATGACAACGACGTGCAAACCCTTGGAGCAGGTGATCCCGGTCCATTTGCAAGGAGTAGAGTGCTCGGGGTCCCAGTCAGACAGAATCCCACGAGTATCGTTCAAACGGCTCCGGAATTCCTGAAGAGCAAGACCTGCACATCAGACGCAGGATTATCCTTTAGTACCCAAACTACCAGCCAACCAGTTTTGGAAACTGACGCCTCCGAGGGTCTCACACTGCGTCCATCAAGCACTGAGGATGGTCAAAGTGTGCAAGCCGAGCAAGCACTACCTTCGTCATTCAGGGCCACAACAAAGGCCGCATGAAGAATCGTCCAGACTGTACAGTAAACGGCAAATGCCACTGCCGCTATGCGACGACTCATCTTCTTCACCGCAGTACACTCAAATGCCAATCCAGGAAGAGGCGCAGATAATTTAGCCCTCCTAGGTGCAACACCCGGCCATGGCTTGTGAGGTCATGGTAAGGCTAACAACGCTCAACCTGATCATGTCCACTGTTTCTCAAAAGCGTTGGTTCCCTAAGGAGATGGTTGTGAAGAATGGCCTTCACTGTGAAAAGGCTGAGGGAGATGAGCTCATGGTCACATATACAAGATTGTCGTCGATGTCAAAGGAGTGACACAGGCATGAACCTCCCGAAAACTTCAGAGTAGTGGAAGCTACTCGAATACAATATCTGCGATGATTTCAGCTGTGACACTACTGCCAAGTGATTGAAGGCTGCAGTGTGAGTATCTTCAGCCCCTTTCGAGATGAACACCAGAGAATGAAAAGAGATGCAAGATTTCCGTCGCATTCTTCGAGCACTTTCGCACATACAATCCTCAGAAGGCAGAAAGTGAGGACGTAGACACACGATCCGATTGTGGCTACGATGTTCTGCACGACGAGAACCTATGGGTGCTACAATCGTCATGTCACGTAGGCTAGATGTAAGGTCAACAGCGAGAAAGAAAGAAAAAGCTGAGAGTTGCATTTTAGTGAGTGTTCCTGGTGGATAATTGAGAGAAGACGCGACATTCCAGCGAGCCAGCGTCGGTGCGTGTCTTGTGGCTGTAAGTGCACTCTTGTCCGGACTGTGCACCAGTCATCTTCGTCGGCGTGGCAGAACTACAGTAATTGTCTAAGTTTCACCGTCCGGTTCGGAGGTTTCCTTCTCTAAATGAAGGCATCAGATTCTCCCTACATAAAGAAAACCCAGCTGAGGTCAAAACTCAAGCATCCACAGTAGAGTCTTGGAATGTGTCGTTCACTAGGACCTTAGTGAGATGTGGGTTGACAATGGAAGTTGATCTGGCGATTTATCCATAGTCAAAACGCAGTCCGATAACAATCGAGACAATTACAGGCACCGTAAAAATGGGAGGAGCTGGAGCTGCTGCTGTAGCTGATGGAAATCGAGAGGCGCAGCGAAAGACAAGTAAATGCGATTTGATAAGATGGTCATTTTAATGGAAAAAGACGGCAACTGCAAAGCTCTGTGAACGTGGCGGAGGACAGTGCGTCCGATTAATGAGATACACAAAAGCCGAGAGCCAACCAGGACGGGCAAAGGCTTTTGCCGAGTATAGACGATTCGGTAGAAGAGGCTCCGACTTGAGTGGTTGCCTTTTCCGGGCTTCCCTGCAAAGACTGCGGGTTTCGCAACAGTCCCGAGGAGGGGCACTTGTCACGGTGGGTCCTTTCGTTCGTTCCTGCCCTCCACCTTTCGTCGGCGTCAGGATTTTCTGGACATAAAATATGCTGCAACAGCGAGTGAGCTGCGAGATTGGAGGGGGGGGGGGAGATGGAGATGGCGGAGCCGGCTCTGACCACGACGACGAAGGCTAGTGCAGGATCCTTTCTCCTGTGATCTGTGAGACTCCGTCTTTGGGATTTCACCGTTGCCGTTGCCGTGCCGTTGCAGTGCCGGCTTGCGATGTGTGCCGTGACTGGTCCGAACTCGGCATGAAACATTCGGCGCAAACTCTGCAGGGAAACCCCGGACCAAACTCAGCGTGGAAACAGTGTCCCAAGTTAGCATACAAAATATTGAAGCAAACTCAATAGGGCTGTCTAAGTGGGAGGGTGGGAGACATGATAGGTGAAGGTTTAATTGAAGAATGGGGAGGTCAATTTTGGGTGTTGATAGTAGGTGAATTGTATGCAAAAATAAATAAATAAATAAATAAATTTGGAAAACAAATCTTATGTATCAATGATTCGTCAAAGAGTTGTTGATGTTTACTAGTTTTTCCATTAGAGTCCATGATTTTTTGGCCAGTCTTTTATATATTTTTTTAATTCTAAAAATTAAGTTTCAACTTTCTTCTATCTAACTAGTTTTGCAAATAAGCTCATAGATTCAACTCATTTCTTCCATTATGCATATATTGATGACAATGTCTCATCAAAGTAAGCATCCAAATTAGATTGCTTTTTATTGGACTATCTAGTTCAAACTATTAACAAATCAATTGCTCAAATTAGGATTTCATTATTTATATGTATAAAAAAGTATTTCATTAATAATTCTAAGATTAATTATTTTAATTTTTTCTTAATTTAATTTTTATTAAGACATAGATTCAGTTGTTTTTTATCCAAATTATTATTCTTCATTCATGCAAGATTGCTCTTAAATTGAATTAGTCTATTAGTTGTATTATTATGTACTGATCTAAGTGAATAGTTGAAATAATATAATCTCTTATTATATTATCTTTTTGTGCATAACTTCAAAATAGGGTGCTAAAAGAAGAAATATATTTCTTTATATCTTTACAAATCAATCTCTTTATCTTGTATAACTTAATTTTGTTAATTCATTGTGAGTTAATTAAGCAAATCTCTGATCCAAATCAATGTATTTTACATAGATAGTTTCATAAATTATATTTATATTTATTTTATTTATTATATATATATATATATATATATATGTATTTTTAAATTTCTTGTATGGATATTCATTGCTTTAGAAATTATCCATAATATGTTATATTTTAAATTCCAACATCCTTGGTATTTTATAATTGCACTATGTTTTTTTTTTTTTTTTTTTTTTTTTTTTTTAATGAAACGTAAGGATGTCTATTTAATAATTTTTACATAATATTAAAATATATTTTTGATTATTTTTAATTAACTAAAATAACTAATTTTACCTTCAATATATTTAAAGACTATTTCTAAATACTTCTATGATATTGGTTTAAAAGACCAATGTTGGAATTCAATGCCTTATATATAAAATTCCAAGTTCTAAGAAGATTAAGAAAGTTGTTTGAAAAACTTTTTAGGATTGCTTCATCTTTAAGTAACATGGAAACTTCTTTAAAAGCTTTGTAAGATTGTTTCATCTTTAAGCAACACTGAAACTTCTCGAGAAGCTTTTTAAGATTGCTTCATCTTCAAGTAATACGGGAACTTCTCAAGAAGCTTTTTAACACCTCATATATATTGGAGTCAAGGCTAAGGGAATCTTTAATCTCAAGAGTACATCTTTTAGAGCTCTAATTCACCTTTTTTGGTATTGATCCTATACTCATCTGATTTATTCAAGTTCTTATTAGTTTTTTTTGTTAAAGCTCTTTTGTTCAACATCTTATTTTGTCTCTTGTACAATGTATCTATGACAATTTGTTAAGACTGCCTTCTTATTAATATTAGAGCTTGATCCTTCTTGATAGAGAGTAGATTATCATTCTTTTTAAAAGCATCTAAGAACTTTAGAGGTTGTGAAGTACCCTCTTCTAAGCTGGTATTGCTTAATTTATTTTTTCTTCTTTCATGATGGTTGGAGGTGAAGATGTTAATATGTTTGAGTCTCTCAGGTCAAAGTTAGATATTATTATGGATACAATAAATACTTTAGCATGTAAAACTACTAAAATTGAAGAATTTTTTGTAAGATTTTATAATAATGCAAACCTTAGAGTAGATCAACTTGTAATGCAACCACTTTCTCAAGCTTCTATATCCAAGGAGGTAGTAGCACTTGTACTTCAATAAAAAAAATTATCTATTCAATAACATAAGGAGCCTCAAATTAGTCTTTTAGAAAAGTTTGATAGTACATGTTCGAAGTTCCAAGGATTTGTTAACCAAATTCTATTAGTAACTTTTCTACAACCTGAGTACTATCCAACAAAGGAATTGTGAGTTGATTTAGTTGCAATCTTACTCATAAGACAAGCCTTAATTTGATTTACTTCTTTATTTGAAAAAAAATCTCCAATCTTGAGCAATTTTGAAGTTTTTTTAGAAGTATTTGTAGAGGCATTTAAAAAACATGATAAGGCCCAATAGACAATAATAAAGATTTACTCATTATATCAAAGATCATGCTCCATATTAGTTTATGCATTTGATTTTAGGCAATAGGCTTATGTCACCAATTAAGATGAACAAGCTCTTATAAGCCAATTTTATTGGGAATGAAAGGATGATATGAAAGACCTTTTATTATCATTACTTGATCCTTAAACAATCAATAAAGCTATTAATCAAGCTTGAAGTATAATAACTGATTATTTCAACACTGTCAAGATCAACGCTTATGGACTTTGATAAATCAATGCATTAAAAATTTATACTCTATTACTTCAACAAATAAATTACTTCTATATTCTAGAGCTGAAGATATGTAAATTGATGTGATACATTTCAAACTCCTTATACTAGGAAGAAAAAAAAAAAAAAAAAAAAAAAAAAAAAACATCAATTTGAACAAGGCTTATGCTTGTGTTGTGATAAAGAAGGCTACATATTTGAAAATTGTCTAAAGAAACAATATGTAACTAGGACTAGGAGTGCAACCATTCAAAAATAAAAAAGACCAATTACAATAAGAATTGTGTGGCTAAACATTGCAATATGTCAAATTCATCAAGATTCCTATCTTTTTACTCGACTTGCTTGTTGTTTTATTATACTTTTATTTCTTAGCCTACAAAGACTTCAAACAAATGCCTTGTTAGATTCAAGTGAAACTGCTTATTTTTTTAGATGAAGTATTTCTTAAACTTCATAAAATTCGTTTAGTACAAAAATCAAAACTTATATATGTAGAAGTAATAGATAGTCAACCTTTATTTCCAAGCAATGTTATTTATGAGACCATATTGTTAGAAATATCATTTGAGGGCCATAGTAGCAAAATAATATTCATTATTATTAGAAACTTGTCTAATCTTATCATTCTAGGATTTTTGTCATTAGAAAGATATAATCCATCTATAATTTAGATGTTTTAAGATTGAATTTTCTATAAAATTTCTTTGAGCAAAACCTATCAAGAATTCATCAACAACAAAGTCTTTGTTTTTGAAAACAATGTCTTTTATGAAGACAACTAAAAAGAAAATTCCATTTTTTATTTATGGAATTTTAGCTTATGAAGAAGCAAGCTTGCTAGTAGCTATGTCAGAGTAGTGTAAGAAATTTTAAGATATTTTTGAAAAGAAAAATATTGACATATTATCAAAGCATTGACCATATAATTATACCATTGATTTTAAAGAAATAGGTCAACTACCATTTCTTTTAATCTACAATCTATCACAAAATAAACTATTGGCATTAAAAGATTATATCTACAAAAAACTTATAAAGAATTTTATTTAATATTCCGAATTTCTAGTAGATGCATCAATATTTTGTATAATGAGAAAAGATCAATTTTTACAAATGTATCTAAATTATTATCGCCTCAAGAAAATAATGGTGAAGAATTGTTATCTATTAACATTGATATAAAGGCTTTTGGAGCAACTCAATCAAGTTAAGATCTATATAAAAATAGATCTCTATAGACTATATAATTTGGTATAGATTAAAAAAGTAGATGAATAGGAGACAATATTTTGGATAAGGTACGGATATTTTGAATATAATGTCATGTCTTTTGGATTGACAAATACTCCAGCCATATTTCAATATTTAATAAATGATATTTTTTGAG